CTATAATTAATTGATAATCGCATTTCGCGGTTCACATATTTTTAGTGAGATGATGAAGTAATTATAATTTTTTTTGTGCTTGAGCGTAAACATGCATCGTTTTCGTTTTCCATTACCCTTTCACTCTGAGATTTTCTCCTTTGCTAATCACCGAATACGCCTTTATTTTTTTTCCTCATGTTTCATACAGCATTATTTCTCCCTTGGTAATCGTAAAATCTTATCGCTTTTTTATTTTCGTTTCAAATTCTTCTGCAAGAATTACGATGCTTACAGATGGTATTGTTCCCTATTCTTTCCTCAGAGAATTCATTTTTATTAGATAATACATATACAATTGAGTTACATAGCAGAATACAGTTTTGGAGAATGGCAAATTTGTGACTTCTAGAATGATACTGTTTATTCAGAATTTATGATCGTAATGTTTACTGCGAAATCAATATTGGGACTTTTCTGATAATCAAACACTGCATTATTTAAATGAACATATAATGTGTCATGGACTTAAAACTGATTTTAATAACTAGAAAATTTAGAGGCAACATTGTTTTTACTTACAACTTTTAAATTTTGTTGAAAGATCGTAGTACACAATCTGTATTTCCAAACTGCATGATGTTCCAAAAATTTGCAGCTATTGACTAAATTGGGATTACTAAGCTTTAATTCTGTACTGTTTTGCAAATTTGCTCATTTTCATGTGCTACTTTGTACTACTATAATATTTTTAAAATTTATCATAAAATATGTATATGTTAAACTAACGTAGCTACTAAAATTATTAATTTCAAATAAAAGTGAATAATTTATTGAAGCTTAAATAAAAGCTGATAACTGGCAATCTTTTAAATGTAGTACATGTTCACTCAATTTTCAGCACAAGTCGCTGGTGTTTCCATGTATTTGATTGATTGCTTTATTTAATATTTTGGTAGTATGCGAATATGTTTGCATAATATATTATAATACAGTTATGTTGATTAATACAGTTATGTGATTCATAAGTAAGTGAAAAAATTTAACTCTACTTTTCAGAACGCTTGGTTTAATATACAGTTACCATTATTATCTGTTTGAGAACAGGATGGAAAGAATGACAACAGATAAGCTGAAAGCTTATTGCAAGTTATGTAAATGTGAATTGAGGGTATGGTAATGGTCTTACATACGTGTTCCGCTGTCTTATATTGTCAACCACTACACAAACTGGGCCTAACTGAGAAGCCCCCATATTAGGTAGGAGGTGAATTGTGCATTCAAAGATTACCAAAATGTAAAAAACTACAGTGTTTAAAACATTGAAAACCTGCAGGTTTGACTGGTCGTCAAGAAGCTCCTACCAGTACTACATGGGCCCCTGTGGGTCAACCACATCGCACGTGTTTTTGTCTCCTAGTGGCAAGACAGTCAAGGTACCGATTCTATGCAGTACAATAAACGACTGCGGGGTGAGGGCTGAGGATATATAAAATGATTCAATGAAATACAATTATCCTTTAAGTCACTGGCAAAACTCTCAAATCATTTTGCCTCAGAATCATATAAAATGCATTTGAAAACTCAATCAGTACCAACCAATTTGAAATGAAACCACCTTTTGTATATTCCGACCATTGGCCATCTGAGCGAAATTTGAAGAAAGAAATGCCATTAAATTCACCATGTAATGGTTTACTTTTACACAGGTTAAAACGCTCGTCATTTATAAAGAAAGTCATTTCAACTTAATAAATAAAAATAATGAAATTAATAAATCATCATTTTCTTTAATATTAGAGGAGTCTACGTTTGTTTTGTGTGCTTATATATATTAACAATATATATACGCACACGTTTGTTTTGTGCTTATATATACTATTAATGCTTATGTATAAGGTAAAACGGAAACGAAAACACAATTTTTAAGAATCATTGAATTTGTAGAGATTTAAAAATTAAAGTAACATCAGATTAGCAAATAAAACACTTAACAGGGGAAGGTCTAAACTTTTTCTAGTAATCATAATCTGATGATGTGAAATAAGTTAAGCTCATTAAAAAATTAGCATACAACAGAATTAGTATTCCAGAATTTCTACCAACTGAGCAGCAGACTCTTAGCGAAGACTGTTATTAGAGTTTTTGGGGAGTTTGCATGAAGCGGTTAAAGAAAAGGATTGGAACTTTCTTAAAATAATCTAAGGATTTTGTATTATTGTATGCGTGTTCATAGTTCTGTTTTTAGTCCTGAATATTTTACCAAATTCCAGAATATATAATCCCTATCCACCTGATACGGCACCACTTTGCGTCCACGACTAAAAGTGCCGTTTAGTGATTACCGATTAAAATCTGTTAATGGGAAGAAAGAGAACTCGAGAGCATAAAATAAAATATCCACTTGTAATTGAAATCTTATGTTTTATGAAATCATTCGCAATACATTTTGAACACAGTAATAGTGCATACTTGTTATGGACCACTCCATCATGTTTACCAAAATGATCTGTTAGATCTCTTATAATAAATTTATGACTCTTACTCACGTTGATATGATCCTAAGTATCCTAACGTATGCACAGGCGGAACTATTAAGTTAGCTTGCAAAGGATTATCCCGGTTATTATAGTAAATGTCTTTATGTGGACTAACGATAAATGGTTATCCAGTAACGAATTAAATGAAGGTTTAAATAGTACTTTACTGAAAACCATGGGAATAAAATGTGTATTCAGTTACCAATCAGCATATTTTAAATTGTCGTAGAAAGGTTTATTGTCAAATTAATAAGATAATAAATATTATTCACGTCAAGGATAAAATCAAACGCTTCTGACGGAATACATAGAAATAAAAACGTCTTATGTTAACTACCATAATGCTACAAATAGCTTTAATTATTAAAATTACAAATTAGACATGATGAGCACGTCTTCTAGGTCGAAATTTGAAAAACTGCTAGCTCGAATATTATGCACCCAAGCAAACGTTATGAATACTAATTGCACAGAACGTGCGATAAATAAAAATGAAGCATAGCTTGGAAGAATGTTACAAAGTTCTGTTGCGTTTTAGAAATTTGTTAATTATAAATTTATTATTTCTATAAGTTGCGTGTTCTGGGACGATGCATTTATTGTTAAATGAAAAGATACTCTAAACGTATCCACATTAGCACATAAATTAACTAATTGCTAATGTTTCAGAATATAATTTTTGAGTCTGAAACGAATTTATCTACATGATACTAGTATGAATTTAACATATCTTCCGTTATTGATACGTAGACCAAGAAAGGAGAGCTTATGTTTTTATCTGTTTTCTGTTAACGTTTCAATTTGTAAATTACTAAATAAATAGACTTTTAGCCTATTTTACAATTGTCGTATTGAAATTATATTGGATCTTAAGGTAAAACCTGGAAGAAAATTTCGTCTGCAGTCTAGAAAGATTATAGACTACCTGACATTGAAATGGCAACACCAAAAATAACTGACCCCAAAATTACGCATATTTCAGGGTAGATGCAAGTCATCTAGTTATCGAGCACGTTGAAGAAGATGTAAGGAAAGCAACTGCAGAATGTTCAATTTTCGTCCTGTTAATTTCAGCTGGAGAAATCATTGCAGAAATTTCTTCCTGTCTCAGAAGACCCGTATAATAGCAGAGAATGCTAGACCGTTCTTAATGGAGACAGTTCCAGCAGACAGACGATTTTTCGAGGGGCATGGTGATCGGACTGAGAAGAGCAGGCTTGTCCGTACGGCAAATAAAAGCTGACACACACCTGGACGCGTCCACAGTGCATCAGCTGTAGTGACGATCGTTAGAATAAGGAAATGTAGACAGTTCGAGGGTGCAGGTACAGCCAGAGTGACGTCAGCACGCGTGGATCGACGCCCTCGCCGACAAGCGGTGGCGCACTCACAAGCCACTTCCATCTTCATTCTGTAGCATTTTCAAGACACCCTGGATATTCCATATTGACCAGAACCATTTGCCGTCGATTGGTGGTTAGTGGCCTGCACTCGTGGCGTCCGGTACGAAGACAGCCTTTGACCCCACATCATACACTCCAACGTCTGCAATGGTGCCGGGCTCGAGCGATGTGGATGACGGAATGGCACAGGGTTGTGTTCTGAAATGAGTCACGCTTCTGTTTCTCCAATAATAATCTCCCCGTATGAGGTTACGTCTATGTGGAGACAGGTCCAATCCAGCAGCAACTGTGGATCGCCCAACCGCGAGACAATCCAGCATCATGATTTGGGGTGCAATTGTTTACTATTCCAGGTCACCTCTAGTTCGTTTTCAGCGCACTATAACTACCCAACGATACGTGGATGATGTGCTGCTGCCGGCGACACTCTCCTAACTTCAAGGAGTGACCAATGCTTTTATCAGTAGGATAACGCCCGGTAGTAGGAGTGCCCAATGCTTTTATCAGTAGGATAACACACTGCTCGCATCAGCCAACGTACTCTGCAAAGTGCATAGATACTTCGCTGGCCACCATTCTCTCCTGATCTCTCACCAGTCAAACACATTTGACGTGACTGGACGCCATTTGCAGACATAGCGGTTTCCTAGGGAATAATGCCTCCTGTTTTCTAGGGTAAGTCCCTATGATCTCCCTGCTGGGACTGCTGGTGATGCTCCAAACTTTGTAAGGGATCTTCTAATTGGCTCTTGCACTTGTACTTCAAGCGAGTGTTCTAATTATGGTGTGATTTCAAAATGGTTCACATCAGCTTCATCCCGGCAGTGGATAAGTAATTCTTTCGACCTGCTAGGCCAAACCTAAACAATGCTGATCTCCAGTTTCTTGTAACTGAAGCAGTCGATAAAGTTGTGTTCTAATACTTTACGGACTGTGGCTACTGTCCTTCTCTTTTACCAGAAGCACGTACTCCTCTAGTTTTCCTTTGAAACAAGATTGTTTAATCATCTTTCCTACGTCTTTTTGTTACAATGATAAACTCCCCATTTTGCTACATTTCTACTTTTTTCTCTGTAAGGACCAGGTCTCGATTATACTGTTTTAACTGAGAACTTTTGTCAATTGGTTGAATCCTGGTCTCTCGTAACTGACCCTCAAGTCGTGCTATCTGAAGTTCTTGTTCTGTTAACAGGCTTCCGATGTGCTGATTTCCTTTTACCTAAATCAGCTAAAGGAAAATCTCAGCCACATCAGAAGCCTGCTGACTACCGTATCGATGGGCCTGGGTTCGAATCTCGGATATGTCATGGATGTATAAAGAGCATAGGTGACAAAGAGGGTACTCGAAGTACGTGCCAAGCCGAAAATCCTCTCGAGAGGCTGGTGGTAGAGTAAGAGGTATGGGAGATCCCGGGGATGTTCCCCAGAGTCCAGAGTGTTCCCTCTCAAAACTGGGGCGACATAGCCCAGCTGGTGCAGCAGGACTATGCTTGTACTAACAATGGTATTCTGCTCACATCTACCTGCACCTGTGTATTGTCTTGGCTACTTATTTATTTCATTGTCGCATTTTGCGTTATAATTTTAAGATACGTCTTTTGTAATTGAATTTCGTCTCAATATATTATAGAGTTTTTTTTTTTTTTTTTTTGTAACATAAACTAGATCTAAAAATCTAAAAGACAATATTCGAATTATCGCTATGGCTTGTAAGTATCACAGAGACAGGGGAAGGGCGTAAAGGACCCTTTTATTAGATCACATAAAGTTTAACAGTCGGCATCAATTCGTTCTTACAGAAGCCAACACTTTTGGCTTAAAAAAGGTTGTGATGTTGCGTGGCCCCAACTTGTCCGCAACAGTAGTAGTGACTGCTATGAACTGGAAGTTACACAAAACTCGTAAGAAGGGTTTAATCCCTTTTTATTTCACTTTAGAACTTACAGTTGCGTTCACTTGACGCTCACAAACTACGCCGACGCGGCGGTGTAACAAAAATAGAAAAGTACAACTAAAAATAAATAACAGGATGCATAACTAACGAAGTCACTATCTACGAGGCTCTATAATTGTAACTATCTTAACCGCGTTCTAAGATACAGCTGAGATTCAGCAAACTTTCTGATTAAGACGTTGAAAGAATTCAACTAACTGCCGAAGTAGGCACACAGGCCGAAACGCGCGGTTCTTAAACTTCTACCAAGCAACCTTCACGCTCGTGAATCAAGAAGCACACTTACAAACTCGTTTCCCTTCTATTTAACTCAAATTACTTCTGCTAAAAATTTGAATACTCTGCGCGTTCTACTAAAATTTACATACTCTGGCATTGGCAATTCCAGGGAAAAGTAAAGGCTTGACAAGAAAGATAGCTTAAAATAAATGTTAGTTAAAATAAATATAAATCCTGCAAGGTAATGGATAAACTTAATGACCTATAGTATTAATAATGCATAGCCTAACGGCTTCACAATTAAACTTGCGCGCTAGCTGGCTCTAACCGAAGTCGGCGTAAACAAGCCCAATGCCAAGAATAAATCAATGCTGCAGAATTATAATTGTTAGAGAAACCAAGTTAGCAACGTGGCCTTCAACCAGGCAGAATACACTCTGATTTCACCTTCCAAAACCTTTCTTTAAATATTTCCTTCTTTCTACCTAATTTGTGGATCGCGCTCGCTGGAAATTTGCATTCTGACAGGGAAAGGAAATGAGGCTTGATAGGAAAGACATAAAATACATAACATAAAATAACTGATTATAAAATTAAAATTAATCTTACAATGTGATCAAATTCAAGTACACAAAAGTAGCCTGGTATTCATATACTGTATTTTTAAGTATACAGAATTTAGTTATACAGACATTGGCCCTTGTGGTCACATATTGTATTTTAGATATACAGATGTATTCTGAATCCAACGACATTTAAATTGGGCGAATAGCTTAACTAAAAAAAAAAAAAAAAAGATATAGGCAAAAACTGTCCTGATGGGCCTTGGCGTCTTTCAACAAAATGCATTTTCGAACGTTTCAAGAAAATTAGTAATTCTATGTTACTTTAGAGAGAGACTGTGAGAGTTTGTTGAACTGCGCTTTAGAGTTTAATTTTTAAGTGGTATCTGGGATATTTCGCGTGTGTTAAGAAGGATTTGTCTAACATCAGCATTGGTCTTGCGCTACTTAAAACCAGTTATTTTGCTGTATATTATTATTACACATTTGGCCAACAAATTTCAATTAAAAACTTCTATCTCAAAGTGCAAAGCTATCGATTCCGAAGCAGGAAACGAAAATTAACAACCTACGAAATCCAATCATAAACATATCACAATAGAAAATAACAATAGAAAAATAAATGCCATATTTAGGGATAATTCTCGACAATAGGCTATCCTGGCACCCTCACATAAATTATATTAAAAGTAAATTTCTAATATTGTCTAACTTGCTGAAAATTACTACAACCATAACTTGTGGAATTTCTTCAAAATTTCAAAAAATCTGGTATCATACAATGATTGAGAAGATTCTCTCCATGGTGCTTCTACTTGAGGCATCACTCTAAATAAACATGTTCAAAGACAATTACTTTCTTTACAACTTTTATTTCTTCTACCAATCACTAAAGCTTACGGAACAACTCCAACAAGTTCTTTACACATTTTAGCAGGCATTCGTCCAATAACCCTCACTCTATAGAAAGAAGCGGTTAAAACGAAAGTAACACGTCTAGACAATCAAATTCCTTCAATTCTTTAATCTTTCATTCCTCAAATTATAAGGAACTCAGACAAAATCAAGACATTCCTCCAACACATTTATTCCCATAAAACTTGCTTATAAATACTTACTGACTAACTTATGTCAATTACAAATCTTCACAGATGGATCCAAAACCCAGTTGGGTGTAGGTTGTGCCTTTCGCGCTTTTTAAAATAGAATGCAAATTAAAACCCTGAAAGCAAAATTAAACAAATTAAATTCCATCTTCCAGGTAGAACTATTAGCAATTCGAGAAGCAATTAAATTAACAAAATTGTTCTCTAGAACTTTAGTATAATAATAAACTGACAGTGCTTCGAGTCTTCAAGCTGTAGTAGGGCGAAGTCGCTCTCCATTAGTGAGAGATATTCAATATCTGTTACCCCAACTTTCCAACAGGTATAAAACCAAAATTATATTGGACATGTGTTCATGTAGGCACTTTCGGCAACGAGATCGCTAATCAGATAGCACGAGAAACTGCAAACAGTATTTTAACATCAATTATTTCCAAGCCTAATCCAATTTCTTACTTAAAATCTCGTTTAGAAAAAGATCTTATGTCACAATGGAAATTTTTGTGGTCACAAGAAGTCACTGGAAGGAGGACATTTGCCTTCTTACCCATCTCCTTACGTAAATTAATTTCTACAAATAGTGCAGTGACTTATCTTCTGACAGTTCATGGGCCTTTTGTGGCCTACTTATTTCATTCTGAGCTACATAACACAGACCTGCCTTTGTTGCTTACATTCGATCACTATTTGTTTCAGTGTCAAATAACCAAAGATTACATTTTTATCCCTATACAACAAACAGGGCTCGCGAATGCTTTCAGCAGATTCTCAGGGATAAATCTCTTCGTCAGAAGCTTCAAACTCTAATGAACTATCTTATAAACAGCGACAACCTCAAAGCAGCATAATTCTCACTTTTATTTATAATTTTTACCTATTAATGTTATTAGCAGTTACAAAAGTGGCTTATAATCTTAATGATAATAGTTTTACTTTTATAGTACTATTCTATTACTTTCGTTTAAATAAAAGCCGCTAAATAAGCAGAAAAATCTGAAAGTTTATCAGACGGAACAGCTGCTCATTCTGTGGTTTCTTGTATGTTATTATTAATTGAAATTAATTGTCGTGCTCATCTGGAATGGTTATTTGAAGAGATCTCCAGGAATCCGTAGCTCTCAACAATACCTATTCTTGATTTCTGTTATTGCCCGGCCTTATTTCATTCTCTTAGGACTGAAAATATTGCAATATCTAAAACATCAGTCAGATCTAGATGCACAAGCTCCAAATGCTTTCTCTCGTCATTAGCGAGGATAAAGTACTACAGGGCAACTTGCTCCGATTATAACTAGAAAGTAATGCCACGGAGAAGCCCAGCGGATATTACCTGTATATTTGGATTTCTTCTAGCTTTCTTCTTTCGGAAATTATCAATAGGAAGATATCTTCCAAAAATTCTTAGAAACAGCCGAAATTTCGTTCCGACAATCTTGCTGATTTTCTTCTTCATATGTTGCAAGTTCTCGTCAGTTCCTTGCAGATTTCGTTTTCAGGACATTAATAACTTCTCAGCATACTTTGCTATGCAACAGATGTTGTTAAATTAAATTTACTATAGTCTGCACATCTGAATGCGTACCGTGTACTATATTGCCAAGATGTTACCTTGTTGCTTCTATTTCCCCAAATGCACTTTATTCTGAGATAAGGTTTTAATAGCCATTTAACGATATAATCTGGCATCAAGTTAACTGCAACTTGTGCTCTATCGTACGTTATTTCCAGGCGCTACCAGTCTGTTACTTTTTGTGACAAAAGGCCATATTTCTGCACATCTTTCTAATTTTTACCATTGTTGTCCAATCGAACATCGATTAGCTACAAATAGATGACATTTTTTTATAACTGAGCTTATAATGACATTGATGCAGTTCATTTTTACTAGTTGTTAGTGTTCTAAAAATAAGTAGAAAAGTCAATTAACGCTTGATGACTGGGACCTAGGTACAGAAAAAAACGAAAACAATAAATTATATAATTAAACTTTTTTTCGCAATATTAGTTCGAAAATTTAAAGAACTAATTTTCTCCATCTGATATATTATTCCCTGCCAGATAAATGGATTCATTAATGTCGTTATTTTTAACATCTTTCCAGATTACAGTTATACCCAGAATCATTAATGACATTGAAAATAACATTTTTGTTAAAAGCCTATCTCATTTTTATAGCAGGTGAAATTAATTTCTATGTGTTCATAAGACATTCAAACCCATTTTGCTATTCGGTCACTGTGTTTTATCAGGGTTTCCCGCCTGTAGATGTTTTACTTATGAGCATTTGCCTTAGTTAATGAAAGGTTTAATTATTGAGCAACTAGTTGGTGGTTAATTCGATTAAATGGCTCGACATACAAAACCCATAACACCTTATATCACAATTTTTAGACGAGGTTTTTGCAGAATTACTGCAAGGGGGTGAAAATAGACATCTCATGCTGAGGCTTCAACACGTTGGGGCGCCATGTCGGCGTCTAATTACTTCAACGCTATTGACTGATGGATTGGCCAAAATAATACCATGAGGGATTGGATAAAAATCGCTTTCATTGAGGGACGTTTCAAAAACTATGAGATATCATGAGGGATGGTATTAGATTGACCTAAATGGTTAGGTTAGGTTATTTAATTACGGCAAAGCCTCGAGGGCTATCTCGCCTAAGAGGAGGAATGCCTTCGTGGAGGACTTTCTAAGGGAAACTGGCTCGTATACACGTTACACATGAGGAAAACCACGAAAACACTCATGCAGCCAGCCCGTTCGTGGGATTCGAACCTCGGACCGAACTACCAGTTTTCAGCGACTTTACCGCTCGGCCGCTGGTGGGCAATGACCTAAATGGATCTACTGCTTAGCCACTACGATCATTGTTTTATCATTGCTGGATTTCATGTCTGGTGTTTTCAAAAATCTATGACAAGCAATATGCGCACATTTTGAAGTTTATATTAAAACTGATAGTCGCTGTTAAAGCATTTCTTCTAAAATGAGTTCAGTTTTTTTAATTCATTTTTTTGGTGTGATTTGCTACTCTTTAAAATTTGCTACGTGAATATAGAAATCCTCTAGATATAATCCTGCTTCTTTTTTTTTTTTTTTTTTTTCTTTTGCAGATATTACTTTTGTTTGTGCTAGCCACTGCGGTGGTATGCAATCCTGTCCCTCCAGAAGATGATGACGATATTCCCGTTTACACAGAGAAAGTTGTACCTGCAAAGCCTACACAACCGGGAAGAACGCGTCCAGTTACTAGAATACCAAAGTTTGGTACCAAGAAACTCATTCCAGGATCCGCGATAACAGGGGAGAAGTTGTCATCGAATAATAAGCTTCCGTACGTAATCCCCAAGCAAGCAACTTCAGCTCCAAAAGCTCTTCTAAAGACCACTGAAGCTATTCGAAGCAGTAATAGACCTGTTAGACGAACACCCAAGTATCTCAGCAATTCACTTGCCAACGGAGAGAGCCCAGCTCCGAAGCGAGCCTTAACAGGAGGCCATAACGCTCCTCGTCCCGTTTATGCTCCAGCTCCAGAACTTGGTGTGCAATACGCATCGGAAATTTCACCTTCATCATATGGCTTAGCCCATGATTATCAACCAAGGAAGTTAGTTCCAAAAAGTAACCCAGATTATGGCTCTGCATTAGGAAATGCGCCAGAAATTAGATATGCTGCAGCGCCAGAAAAATTTATTCCATCAGCTCCAGCTAGCAAAGAAATCCATGACAACGCATATAACTCTAACTCGTATGTAAGTATTATTTTTGTATTTTAAAAATCACTGAAAATTAAAATATTTATAAAGTTTTAATTACAAAAAATTAGATTATTTTAAAATACTTCTAATGTTTTTTAATTGTAGTGATTATGATGTATATTCATTAACTGTCTCAAAACAAGAAACAGGAAAAATTAGCGATGACCTCGCCGGGGTTCTAACTGCGGGGCTCACATTTCTAGCGAGACGTGCTTCTAGTTACTTCACGAAAGCACATACTAAGGAAAGAGAAAATTCCTTACGATGCTAAAATGCTTTAAATTTTGCAATTATAATGTTTTCCTATGAATAGAATTAAATTACGATAGCCTAAATTAAGATAGTCATTTTTAAAAAAAATCTATCGATAAATTCAGTTCATATTTTATTATATCTTCAAATTATTGTAAAAATTAACTGGAATGAAGCATAACAAGCTTTAATTATTTACATTTTTACTTATCCCTAACTTTATCACTTCCGTTGATTATTGTCTTTCCGTAGCTTATTTTCGCTAAATGGAAGAATTCAACTGTTAGCAGTTTTTAAAAAGTAATTTGAGTTTTAGAATAGAAGAGATTCGAGGTTCAGACTTGGTGCATGAAGGTGCAGTTGCCCCTCGCTCTCTATTTTTTGACTTCGCTGATTTTTTTGCGTTTTCGTCTATGTGTTTATATGTTTGATTAGATAACCTGGCTCAGTAAAAGTAGGCAGCCAGTGTAACTCTGATTCAAAATCCGGTTACGACACGCGCAGTGCTGATAACAACCACGTGTTTCTGAGACTCCTTTGCCAATGTTTTATTTTTCTACTTTTTTCCCCTTTCTAGTAATTTCGTTCTTTTGATGAGGAGGGACCTTTAGCTGCCCTCTAAATCGATTGAATGTTTAATATATGTACGCTAAATACAAGGTTGTTAATGCTATTCTGAATTTGCGTTTTGTTTATAAAAAGTAATTATCATTTAACAAAAGTTTTTAGATTAGATTGAAAGGCATAATAAAATTCACTGAACTTCACTTTCTGGATTTCCTAAACATACTTAGTTCTATCGTTAAACTAATGGGAAAGTGAAGCAAATCAACAATAGGTTTAAAAAAATTCCTTTCTTTTTCTGTTTAAAGCATTCTGATAGAACTTTATACTAACTTCTAACAGAAGCATGCTATAGCTACCTACCAAAGAGAAGCAATACCTTCATGGAGAACTTTCAAAGGTAAAACTGGTTCATATTTAAATTACACTTTGAGGAAAACTATAAAAATCTCCATGCAGCTAGTCCATTCAACGGGATTTGAGCCCGAGTTGGACTACTGGTGTTCAGTGATTCTTGGCCGCAGGTTGGCTAAAACATTGAAAACAAAAAGGAAGTTCATAGTTATTGCATATGAAGTGACGAGCCCAACATCCCTAAAAATACATATCCTTCCTTTACGTTTCAGCCAGTGCTTGTAGAAATGTATTCTTAATTATAAAAATGCTTTAAGGAATAAACTCGCTTTATGGAGAGTTGCTACAGCTCTCTTTGTCTCTCTAAAATAAAAATACTTACCCGATTTAAACTCAGTCTACTAAATTGTATTCTGGTAATTCTATACTAAAGGAATAGAACACATAGGAAAGACTTAAAATAAAAATGATGTGTTAATTAAAATAAATTTTTCAGATTTAATTAAATCTATAGCTAATTAATTGTATATTAAGTGAAGCAAACAAGAAGGCAACAGTTGCCAGTCACTGATAATGATATCTCTAGTAATGATAACTACTATAATAAAAATAATTCTAGTAAGCATTTAAATTCAATTAATAATAAATCACAACCAGCATTGCTATGGAATTAATTTTCTTTTCTTGGTAATATCATTCTCATATTCTAAACCAAGTTTTTTAATTATTATGTTCCCGTTGCTTCTTTTTTTTTTAATTCAAAAACAGATTCTGTAACCGCTGATAAAATATTAATTCAATCATGTTCTTTAACACTTTTAATCATTTTCTAAAATTAAAAAATGACAGTTGTCATACATATCTTCAGAATACATTATTAAGCATAGTAAAAAGTGAATTAGACTTTCAAGGAGATAATGAAGCACGTAGGCTTTTTAATCTCACTGCAAAACGACGAAACCAAACTTTTAAACAATTGCTCATCAAAAATGTTCTCATCGTTAACTTGTAAAAGAAGCAGTTTTTGACTAGCGTGTCACGTGACGACAGCTATGGCACGAAACTAGCTATAAGAATGGCTAGACTAATAAGAAGAAATTGACTTGCGTGACAAAAGTGGGCTACGTAGTTAGTTGGCACTCAAAATAATTGCTGCACAAGAAAGCATTTCGACATATTTCCTTCTGAATGGTTCTTTTTTCATGATTTTATTTATCGATAGAAAATTTTTCGCAATTATTTTGTTCGTTATCTGCCATTATTCATCTAATTCGATGGAAATAGTGCAACGTAATGCTCATAGCATTATGTGAAGTAAACAGAAAAATGTATACAAAATGGGTAGGAGAAAAAGGGTCACATAAAGTTTGTTTCTATTCTGATAATTGATTGGATAAGAACTCCTTCTAGCATAATTTAAGTTTAATCTCTCAGATTATCAGATTTTTATTACTAACCAATTTTAGCACAATTTCCTAAATTTCGAATATAAAAGCTGTTAAGAAAGCACGCAGTAGATCATGTAAATTTATTTTAATTAATTCTAGCTTATCTCGCATTTTTAGCCTAAAACGACTATTAGTCTGAAAACACGATTTTGCTTTTTTTTTTTTTTTTTTTTTTTTTTTTTTTTTTTATTTTTTATTTGAGTCTATTGCCATTAGGAAAAAATGTAAAACATTATTCTTTCATAATTTAATTTTTTCTGCTATTAATTAACAAATTAAACTATTTAAAAAAACATTGCATTTCTTTAAAATATTAATTTTTTACTTTTCAAGCGGATTGCTTTAAATAAAAATGCATTTAATTCATGATATATCTAATTAAAAACATATACATGTTAGTCTAAATGCGTATTCGTCTAATATACCATAAACTGTTTCGTTATTCCTCCAGAGACCCCTCTATAGATATTCGCTGTTGATAAACCATACTAAACTTTAAAAGAGCCCTTTTGAGTAATCGTTAAAATCTAATCCCTTTCAGATTTTTTTTAAATAAAACATTTCATGGTATCTTATCGGTTTACCAAACTACTTTTTTAATTTGCTGAGTTGTTTCTCTGGCCTCTAATTTCGAAAATTCTAGTTCCTTTACTGTTTAATTCTTTCTTAGTATGATTTGTTTACAATTAGCAGATTATATCTTAATGGTTTTCTTAAAAAACTATTGATCTTAGTTTTTAATGGCATTCTTGAATGACATTGCGATATCATATTAAAATTTTTAATGGCTTTGCAAAGTTATTTTACATTACTTTATAAAATTATTTCTTTAATATTCATTGTTATTTATTTCATGAATTCTTTTAGATATAATTCAGAAACATGGATACATTAAAAATTTTCGGATGATCCTAGAAAAAGGTCAAAGAATTTTCAACTTTTTATTATATTATTATCTTTATTATGTTGCTTGATAAAGCTTGTTGTGATGCTTAATTTTCATTTGTATTCTTTTAGTTAGTTAGAAACCATTATTTAATTAACTATTATCTCACCGTTAGTATCTTAATGAAATTTGATTAAAAATCAGCAATTTAAAAACAGTCTGCTGCCATGAATTCGTCAAAGTTGTAAGATATTTATGTTTCCAATTTAATCCCAGCGATTTAAAAGAAATGTGTTGCCACTCGAAGGAGGATAATAAATTTCCCTTTCAAGTTTAACCACCAAACTCAACGATTTCAAAGAAATTTTTTCTACTGTCCGCAAGAAAATATTTTTCATCTTCCAATCGCCACTGTGTTAATAACTGCAGCTTCTACGGCGACTGCAATAACCACTGGGGAAAGGGGGTACTACATTGTCTTCGACTGCATATGCAAGCCGTGTCTTCGAGATTGTCATTAAAGTCAATTTACCTTGAACATAAGACAAATCCAATACATAAGCTAGAATATGCTTCTAAGAAAGGAATTCGAAAGTGTTTCGGTTAATCAATAAATATGAGTACTTTCTCTTCAGTTCTAAAACACTGTGAAGAATCCATTCTTTTGAACAATAATTGCATTCATAATTTCTTTTTCAGGACGACAAGCCGCAACCGTACATCTTTGGGTATGAGCTGAAGGACGAAAATGGAGCCACCCAGAGCCGCAAAGAACAAGGCGATGATTACGGCAACAAACGTGGGTCGTACGGCTATACGGATGGTTATGGGATTTACCGTCAAGTGGATTACATTGCCGATGCTCATGGTTTCCGTGCAATAGTTAAGACAAACGAACCAGGGACAGAAAACCAAGATCCAGCAGACGTCAAGATGCTATCAGAAGCTGGCAAATATTGAAACCCTCTCTTGAAAGAAGTGAGTGAGAAAAGGTTATGTCATCGACATTTGTAAGAATCGCAGATTTTTCGAAAACTGAATTCCGTTCTTCAGAGTGGGATTTAAATATTGAGAGCGAAGAAGTTAAACTGCTTTTAATAACAATAATGGAAAATTTATTAGCCTTGTGAAATAGGTAATATGATAGTGTATACCTCGTTAACGTTTTCTTATTATTATAGAACCTGTGCATAACAGTAGTATTCGAAAATGCTTTAGTATGAAAATAATATAGGTGCCAAAGCCGGCACAACCGGCGCGGTCGCCCGGAGCGGCAGTATTTAGGGCCGTCAATATTTTTGGATTTAAGGATTTTTAGACTAGATTTATAGAATTTAGGGAAGAACCGGGCAGCAGGATTTAGGACCCGCAGAGATTGCACCGGGCCGCAAAATGGTCTGCCCAGACATTCTAAATTCTAAATGCCAGATAAAATTCTATTTTACAGCATTTTCGGCATTTATTTAATTATTAAAATTTAAAATTTAATAAAATTTATTTTCTGTTTCTCTTATATCGAAATAATAAAACTTTAAAAGTAATGAGAATATTCATATTGAGTTATATTAGAACCACACAAACGTAAATGGTTTTTAGATAAGAACTTTAGTAATTATTCTCCTCGTGCTAAAAATCCAGAGCTATCATTTTAACGACAATTCTGCTGCAAAAGCAAACCCACGATGGTACTTGCAACTTTTATACGCATATACAGCATAACTAGGCAACCTGTAATGGAAAGAGAATTACCCGCTGTTGGAAATGAAAAGTCAACAGTTTGAATCGGTAAAGAGCTCTCGATCCACACTCTGGAACCTGAATTCAATTCTTGACTTCCTGTGTACATTTAACCCTATTTCACTTACTTTCAATTTATATTGGACGTTTTAGATCTGTTGTTCTTTGTCTGACGTTTGACAAACCATACATTTTGCATTGGGGTCACATTTCACTGGATTTGCAAAACAAATATACCTTTTTATTGTTCATGGATGTTGAGAATTGTTTTTATTTCATGCAATACGTAATTTTACTTGTTATTTTACCTTATAAAGAAACCGTGTTCTTTACCTTATCTTCAAAACTCGTTTGTGGAAAATGAAAAATTTTGAGGGAAAAAATCCTAAATTAAGATAAATAACCTATTGACATTTTAGATTTGTACAGTTATGCAAAGATATGTAACTTACTCCTTACTTATGTTCTTGATTTTCCCATTTCGGCTTAATATTGCTGTAAAAAACATGCAAAAGTTTCATCAAAATTTGAAATAAAATGATGCAAATATTGCTTAATTTGAGAAGTACATATAAACATAGTTTATGTTATTTGAAGCAAATTATGCGATATTTGAAACAAATTCTACGTTATTTGAAACATAGTTTTATGTGGTAAATTAGTTTCAGTAATATTTTATTTATATATTCCCTGTAAATACATTAGATCTTTCCTACATCTGTTTGCTTTTTGTCTTCTTGAATCATTGTAAACGACATTTCTGAGTCTTTTATTGTCAAAATTAGAAATTAGTTTATGTCTTTTATCTTACAAAAGAAATATGCCTTCTTATAATTGTTATTTATTTTATTTATTTCTTATTTATAGTTTGTGAATTTCGCAAAATAATTATTATGTATCTGTGTTGTTGCGTTCTTTGTTTCCATATTTCGCCTGGGATGTCGGTAATAACTGTTAAAGAAAACACTTCATTTTCTTTTAGATATATGTATCCAATTATGTTTAAAAGGGCATCGATTATTGAGGCAAACGTTCATTTGGAGCATATAAGTTAGTATTTGTAATATGCAAGCACAGATCATGGAAAATGTTCTTAATTTTTAATTTTCTGAATCAAATTTCTTACTCTTAATTTCTTAATTAACTTTATTACTCTTTTTGTATCCGTAATGGTTTTCCTTTAACATTTTCATCAAGTGTTGTGATGTTGTAGCGTGATTCAAATAGCATTTGAACAATTATTTTACGTTTTATTTATTGCTAAACTTAATTTGAATGCTATCCTGTTTTCCGTTTGATTAATGTAATTACAGACATTCGAGATCAAGCGTAAGGAAGTGCAAATTAATTAATTGCAATTCATGCCTCGAGGAGTGAAAGCCTTCATACTGTCTATGAAAACTAGCGTTGGGCTATTTGAAAGAGAGGCAATATATGTCAGAAACCTCAAAGTTTCCTCTTTGCAACTGATAGCTCTCTTCATAGTGATTGGCTAACATTCTATTGAGTGTCTTGTTTGAAAGGCTTTGATTATGGTAATTGTAATATTCCAAAGAGCATTGCCTAAGTTTTCAACACTTTTGTTAAGAAGAATCGATCGAATTTTTAGGCCACCTTAAACATATTTAATTATTACATTGTGGTTTAGTTATAACTTACTAATTCGTTGTGACAAAAATTCGTTCTTTCGTTAAAAGTTTCTTTGAATTTTTAGTTTATGTTTATGTGCAACTTGACTGTCTTCAGAGAAATAAGTCACCAAAAGTAAAAAAGCAACTCCATTAGGTAGACATACTTCAAGAATAGTATTAAGCAGAAAAGAATTTCTTAACACGACTGTACTTCTGTCTATTTTATAAACAACGGATGTATTAATTATTTAATCTATTAAAACTGAAGGACAAGTCTACTACTTTCAACAATTTTTGAAGTTTAATATGGTAATTTAAATCAATCATATGAATTCCGAATGCAGAAATTCACGAGGAAATACAAGTAAATCCGATATTATAAAAATATGTAGAATCGGTACTTACTGTCTAGGAATATGATGTTCGTAAACTTACTTCCGATGTGGCTGTCTAGGTGCTAATAAACTAGTCCAATTTACAAATAACTTGAATATTTAATGAAACATGAATAGTTGCTACTAACAACTACAAAGTAACTAACTACTACAAAGTAAAACTACAAAGTAATTACATACGTAGAAGGAAATAGGTGAGATTATTTACAAATGAAGAGAAGGAATCATCTTTAATATGCAAACATCTTTAAGTTCGCGTCATCGTCTTAATGGCGGAATCGTCTGCCTCCTATCATCGGAAAAGTAAAAGATTTATTTTCACAGCTTGTCGCGTCATCTCACAGCTTGTCTCACAGCTTGTGATTATAATGAACGATGCCATCCACAAATGCTCGTCCATCCTGATGGAATGCGGCCTCGCATTCTCGTAGCACCACCATCTCATCTAGGAATCTGAAAAATAAAATTTTAAAAAACAAAAAAAGAGATTTTTAGTTACTATTAAGGGAAAATTCGTCTTAAATGGTTTATTTCAGCCATCTTCCGTTATCATCTTAACATCCTCAGAAATAACGGCGTTAGCTCTTCTTAAATGCTCTTTCAGTGTTCGTTCATCTTGAACAGTCTATCTGAATACATGTGTTTTACAAACACGTCTTCCTTTGATGCTGTCTGGAATAATTCATCTTTGTATTTACGTCTTCTTAAACATCGTGTGAATACGTCTTCTGAATGCATCTTCTTAGACACCGTCTGGATACGTCTTCTGAATGCGTCTTCTTAGATACCGTCTGGATACGTCTTCTGAATGCGTCTTCTTAGAT